GACTTTGGTTCTGCGTAAATTGTTGGAGGTAATTATAAAAGATAGGATTTATGGACTTATAGAGAGGCAAATATTGATGAGTGATAGTCAGCATGGTTTTGTGTGAGGAAGTCGTGTCTCACAAACATGGCTGAATTTTTTGAGGAAGTTACCAAAAAGGTTAATGACGGCAGAGCAGTAGACGTTGTTTATTTGGATTTTAGTGAAGACTTTGATAGGGTTCTGCATGATAGACTAATTAGTAAAGGTAGGTTACATGGGATTCAGGGTGAGCTTGCCAATTGGATACATAATAGGCTTAATGGCAGGAGACAGAGAGTAGTGGAGGAGGGTTGATTTTTGGACTCAAGGCCTGTGACCAGCAGTGTTCCACAGGTCCTCTTTTGTTTGTCATTTATACAAATGATTTGGATGAGAATATAGAAGGTATGGTTAGTAAATTTGTGGATGACACCAAAATTGGTTGCATTGTAGATAGGGAAGAAGGTTTTCCAAGATTACAAAGGGATTACAAGGGTCAATGAGCTAAAAAATGGCAGATGGAGTTCAATCTCAATAAATGCGAGGTATTGCATTTTGGTACAACAAAAAGGGTAGGGCTTATACAATTAATGTAGAGCCTTGGGTAACATTTCAGAGCAGAGAGACCTAGGGTGCAAGTACATAATTCTTTAAAGTTTGCGTCACATATAGATAGGATGGTTAAAAAGGCATATGGCATGCTTGCCTGCATTTCTCAGTTCTTTGAGTATAGGAATTGGGACATTATGTTGAGGTTGCACAGGACATTAGTGAGGCCTCTTCTGGAGCACTGTGTGCAGTTCTGTTCGCCCAGTTAGAGAAAGAATATTATCAAGCTGGAGAGGGTTCAGAAGAGACTTACCAAGGTATTGATGGGTATGGAAGGTTTGAATGATAAGGAAAGGCTGGATAGGTTGGCACTTTTTCCAATGGAATGTAGGAGGTTGACAGGTGATCTGATAGAAGTTTACAAAATAATGAGAAGTATAGATGGAGTTGATGGTAATTTCCTTTTCCCTATGATGGGAATTTCAAAACTTGGCGGCACATTTTCAAGGTGAGTGGAGAGGGATTTAAAAAAGACATAAGAGGCAATTTAAACAGAGGGTGGTTTGCGTGTGGAATGAATTTCCTGATGAAGTGGTGGATGTGGGCACAATTACAACATTTAAAGACATTTGAATGGATATATGAGCAGGAAAGATTTGGAGGGATATGGGCCAGGAGCAGACAGGTGGGACTAGTTTAATTTAGGATTATGTTCGGCATGGGCTGGTTGGACTGAAGGGTCTGTTTCTGTGCTGTATAACTCTATGACTCTATTAAGTGTATACGTACTGCCCTGATTTGCCTTTCCAAAATGAAGCACCTCACATTTATCTGGATTAAATTCCATCTGCCACTCCTCGGCCCTTTGGTCCATTTAATCAACATCCCATTGTACTCTGAATTAATCTTCTTCACTCTCCACTACACCTCCAATTTTGATGTCATCTGCAAACCTACTAACCATACCTCCTATGTTCATGTTCCTATAATGTATATAAATGGTGAAAAGCAGTGGGCCCAGCGCCAATCCTTGTGGTAAACTGCTGGTCACAAGCCTTCAGTCTGATAGTCAACCCTTCACCACCATCCTCTGTCTTCTACCTTCAAGCCAGTTCTGTATCCAAATGGCTAGAGAAACAATTCCCTTCTCGAACATATCTATAGGGCTTAATATAAATATAGCTTCAATTTCCAGTCTTAAGAATCTAAATGCCTCTTTCTTAAATTTCATACAACTGACTTTGGATTTTCTCAGCTGCAAGTAATCCCTGCAAGGTTTTACCCAAATACTTCTAGTTGGGAGCTTTAAACCTAAACTCCTTACACTGAGTTAACTTATTCCTTAGCCTTTCTGAACCATCTCCTTCTGCCAGAAGCAACTGTTTTACATATCCAGGTTCAGCCACGACTTCCACAAAAGTTCCAAACTGAAACCCAGAAGCCTTTTTACCAAGTTATGGGTGTTTCCACTTCACAAAGAGAGAGAGAAAAAAAATCAATATCTGACCTTTCAAACTTTTTTTTAATACTCTCACAGGAAGTGGACATTGCTGGCTGGCTCAGTATTAATACCTATCCCTAGTTGGCCATCAGTGGTAATGACCAGCCTTCTTGAACTACTGCAGTCCATTTGATATGTGTAGATCCACGATGCTGTTGGGGAGGGAGGTCTACTGTTTTGATCTAGTGACATTGAAGGAGCAGTGATATATTTCCAAGTAGGCATTCTGACTGACTTGAAGGGGAACTTACATATTTACAAAATTGTTTACTCTGTTAACTTGCAAAATCTCTCCCAATGAAAACAAAACCCCATTATAGACCAGGTGCATGCTTCCTCACTGTTACTTTTAAAAGAAATCATGATGGCTACAGATATACATACAAGTTAATCTTTAAACTCCTTCACAACTACAGGCCAAATCCACATTACTAGTCCCATAGCCATGATCTAAAATAAATGATAATACATTATATATAAATCACACCTTAAATCACAATAGATTAAGGTTATTAGTAAGGGAAATAAAATTAAAAATCAGTGTAGCTTTTTTGGGTGGATTTCTGAGGTTAAAATTAATTGCGTGGCTGAGCAGATTGCTTTGTTTAACCAAAACAAAAATGCTCCATTAGTTAACAACAATATTCTTGATTTTAGAAACACAAAATATCTTAAAAATATACCCACCTTGAAAAGCACAAAGAGACAATTGCACAGCAGGGACAAATGGTCAAAACATCCATGTTAATTCTTACCAACCACAGATCATGTGTAATACAATTATTTATGAGGCATGCAGTAGGGATGTCAATATTTTTGGTATTCAATGAACCAGTGCTCTCTGTTTATTTCAGTGAAATGAAATCTGTATTACAGTCCCACATGATTGGAACTAGAGCCATATTAATTTCAGTTCATGTTGACATCCTGTATTTGAATTTTACTCTACTTGTGAAAGTAAGAATCCCAACTGATATTGTGTATAATGTCACAGCTATCCAAATCAATCATCACCTATTCATTTACAGGAACACAGGAACATGAGTAGGCCATTCAGCCTATTGAGCTTGCTCCACCATTTAATAGAATTGTTGCTGATTGAACACTTCAATGCCTTTTACCCACATTATCACAATCACCCATTATATATTGTGACCTCTGGTTCTAAATTTCCCATTGAGGGAAAACATCTCCCCTGCATCTACTGTGTCTATCCCTTTCAGTATTTTGTAGGTTTCAATGAGATCACCTCTTATTCTTTTACACTCTAGGGTATACAAGCTCAGTTTGTCCAATCTCTCTTCAAAGGACAGTTCTGCCATTCCAGGAACAAGTCTGGTGAACCTTCATTGCTCCCTTTATGGCAATAATATGTTTTCTTATATAAGGAGACCAAAACTGTACATAATATCCCAGGTGCAGTCTAACCAAGCTCCTATAATGAAGCAAGACTTCAATACACACACACACTCAATCCATTTATGATGAACGCTAACATTCCATTAGCCTTCGTAAAAGTTTGGTGCTTATCTTTAGTGACTAATTGACAAGGACACCCATGTCCTTTTGCACATCTACACTTTGCAACCTCTCACTCTTTAAGAAATACTCTGCAGCAATTCTTCCTACCAAAGTGGATAATATCACATTCTTGCACATTAAATTCCATCTGCCATGTTCTTACCATTCACTAAACCTGTCCAAATCCTCCTGACAATGGTTTACATTTTCATCACAACACACAATTTTGTTTAATTTTGCATCATTTCTGATTTTGGAAACATTACATTTAGTCCCATGTCCAAGTCATTGGCATATATTTAGAACAGCAAGAGTGCAAGTACTGATTCTTTTGGGATGCAATTAGCCACAGTGCACCAACACAAGAATGATCCAATTATTTCTATTCTGCTTTCTGGCTGTTAGTCAATCCTTAATCTATGCGAGTACTTTGCCTCCTATCCCTTGTGCTTTAATTTTGATAACCAATTTCTGTGTGCGGACTTCATCAAAAATCATCTGAAAATCCAAATGTATAATATGCATCAACTCCTGTTTATCTATTTTGTTTGTAATATCCTTCAAAAAACTTCAACAAGTTTGTCAAATCCATGTGCACTATGTTCAATCATATCATTTTTGTCCAAACGTTCATTTATCACAACCTAACATAGAAAAATGGAAATTAGATACAAGAGTAGGCCATTTGGGCCTCTGAGCCTGCTTTGCCATTCAATATGATTTGATTTTTGATTTGATTTATTCTGGTCACGTGAACCTGAATACAGTGAAAAGCTTTGTTTGCAAGCAGTACAGGTGGATCATTGCAAGGAAGGACACACAGATCATAGGATGCTTAGGCAGAGTGTGGCATACATGGTTACACTGCATGCGAGGGGCGGCATGGTGGCTCAGTGGTTAGCACTGCTGCCTCAGAGCACCAGGGACCTGGGTTCGATTCCACCCTCAGGTGACTGTCTGTGTGGAGTTTGCATATTCTCCCTGTGTCTGCGTGGGTTTCCTCCGGGTGCTCCGGTTTCCTCCCACAATCCAAAGATATGCAGATTAGGTGGATTGGCCACACTAAATTGCCCATAGTGTTCAGGGATATGTAGATCAGGTGGGTTATAGGGGGATGGGTCTGGATGGGATGCTCTGAGGGTCAGTGTAGACTTGTTGGGCCGAAGGACCTGTTTCCACACTGTAGGGATTCTATGATGATGAGATGCATGAAGCAAGATCCAACATTAACAAGGTCAACATTATTTGAAGTTAGAGAGTCTAATCAGACTAATAACAGCAGGGAAGAAGCGGTTCTTGAACCTGTTGATGTGTGTGTTCAAGCTTCTGCATGACTGAAAAAGGTGTAAGAGAGTATTACTGGGGTGGGAGGGCTGTTTGATAATATTGGCAGCCCTTCCGCAGCAACAAGCTGTGAAAACGGAGTCCATGGATTGAAAGTTGGCTTCTGTGATGGTCTGAGCACACAATCTTTTGTAGTTTCTTATGGTCCTAGGCAGAGCAGTTGCTGTACCAAGCTGTTATGCACCCAGACAGTATGCTTTTTATGGACGTACCGAATTTCCTAAGCTGCCTGAGAAAGAAGAGGTGTTGTTGTGCCTTTTTGACCATTGCATTTATATAGGAGTCCAGGACAGGTTGTCGGTATCATCACTCCTAAGAACTTGATGCTCTCGACCCTCTCAACCTTCACTTCATTGATGTAGATAGGGGCATGTTCTCCTCCTTTCTTTCTGAAGTCTTTTGATTCTTTTGATTCGCTGACATTGACAGAGAGGTTGTTATCATTGCAGCATGACACCAAGCCCTCTATCTCCTTTCTGTATTCTGACTCATCGATATTCAATATTTGATATCCGTCCTACCACAGTGGTGTTGGAGCAAACTTGTAGATGGAATTTGGTCAGAATTTGGCTACCCAGCCATGGGTGTACAGGGAGTACAGCAGGGTGCTGAGAATGTATGCTTGGGGGAGCTCCAGTATTGAGTGTCATCGTGGAGGGTGTGCAGTTACCTATCCTTATGGATTGTGGTCCATGGGTCAGGAAGCTGTGGATCCATTGGCAAAGGGCAAACCTGATTCCTAGGTCTTGGAGCTTTGAGATCAGTCTGGAGGGGATTATAGTGTGGAAAGTGAAGCTGTAATCAATGAGCAGAAGTCTGACGTAGGTGTCCTCGTTGTTCAGATGTTCCAGGGATGACTGCAGGGCTAAGGAAATGGCGTCTGTTGTAGACATGTTACATCGGTAGGCAAATTGCAGGCGATTGAGACAGGCTGGGAGGCTGGAGTTGATGTGGGCCATGATTAGTCTCTTGAAACACTTCATGATTATGGAGGTCAGAGCCACTTGACAGTAGTCATTAAGGACATTGCATGTGTTTTCTTTGGTACCGGGATGATGGTGGTCTTCTTGAAGCAGGTGGGGACTTTAGCTTGTAGGAGGAAGAGGCTGAAGATGTCAGTGAATACCTCCAGTGAATTGAGTAAGTATAATCATGGCTGATCCTATAATTCAATGCCACATTCCCACTTTATGCTGATACTCACTGATATTTTCAAAATCTAAAAAAAATCTGTCTCTTGCTTGTATATATTCAGTGACTTGGCCTCCAGTGCCTTCGTGGCTGAGAATTCCACGGTTCATTACTCTTTGAGTGAAGAAATATTTCCTCATCTCTGTCATAAATGGTCTGCCCTGTATCCTAAGACTGTATCACCTGGATCCTCCCTGCATCTAGTCTCTCTAGTCCTGTTAGAAGTGAATATATTTCAATCAAATCTCCTCACATCTTTATGAACTCTAGTTTATAGTCATTTATGAGAGTTTCTAGCATTTTCTCCACTATTTATTTAAGATTGATGGATCTGTAATTCTGTGTTATCCTTTGCTTCTTTCTTAAATTGTGATATTTGCAAGCTTCCAATCTGTCGGAATCATTCTAGAATCTTTGGAATTTTGGAAGATAATTACCAATGCATTGACCATCTCTATAGCCACCTCCTTCAACACTCTGGGAGATAGGCTTTCAGGTCTCATAGATTTATCAACTTTCAGTCCCATTATTTTCTCCAGTACAACCACCTTACTAACACTAATTTCCTTAAACTCCTCATTCTCCCAAGTGACTTGGATCTCTAATTCTAGGAGAATTCCTGTGTCTTCCATATTTAAAATAGACACAAAGTACTCATTAGATTTTCTGCCATTTCTCTATTCCCCATTATAAATTACTTTTGTTTTTAACGGACCCACATTCATCTTAGCCAAACATTACCTTTTAAGGTACACTGAGGAGATTTTACGGTCTATTTTTATGTTTTTTTGCTAGATTGCATTCCTTTCCATATTCTTCCTTTTTTGATCCACCTTTGCCATCATGTAACTCTGACAACTATTTGTTACCATTAGAATAAATTATAAATTTACCATAAAGACTTACTTGGATATGCACAATATAAACTTATCTTTATTTTCATTCAGTCTTATTTCTAAAGAAGAGATTGCAACTTGGATTTCAAGAAGGATCACAAACAAAAGGATGGTAAAATTAAATCAAGTCAAACAAAATAATAAGTTAGATAACAAGGTGTAGAGCTGGATGAACACAGCAGGCCAAGCAGCATCAGAGGAGTAGGAGGGCTGATGTTTCGGGCCTAAACCCTTCTTCAAAGGTCAGCC